CCGCACAAAGGCTCGTGCATAGCCAATATCGGTCTTTATATCTGTCATGCGCAGCACATTCCTGAAATAATATAATGAATTACAAACTGAGTCTGGGCAACCAAGGAGATATCAATTTAGTTGATTTTTTTGTAAAAATTATTTTTTTAAATAAAACCCAATTTTTTTTAAACAAACAACCAAGAGAGTGGAGAGACCAAAATTTATGACGAAGTTCAGAATATCAACTTCCAGAAACTGCTACCTACTACAAACTGCGTCTCGGCAAGCTCGGACATATTTATTTTTTGCAAAAATTATTCTTTTTAATAAAACTCCGTTCCTTTCTTTAGCACACAACCAAGAGAGTGGATAAACTAAAATTTGTGGCAGAATTCTCAATTAATACTAACTTCCGGGCATCGTTACCTACAAGTTTAGAAAACTATCATCATTCTCTGAATCATCTGTTCTCCACAGCGCAGTCAACGCTCAAATATTAAAAATTCCTGTCCCCGATTACTGTAGGTTATACAAGTAATCGTTGTTCTAAAGAATGTCGTGACACATACGTAATTTCGGCAAACTGACCAATAACTGGCAACTCGTGGGCTCCGACAAACAAAAGTCCTATGCTCAGTTGAAATATTCCGGTTAGCTGTTATTCATAGTCTGATCCATCGCCTGTGTGGTTGGCAACTTTTCCGTCTGCTTTGACCAATCCTGTATCATCTGTTGGTCAACCTGCTGCCAGTCCTGAGGTTCATTTCACGGCGTGAAAAGATTACTAACCCAACGGCTTTATCGGCAGAAGCAAAAACTGGCATGGCACCCTATTTTCAAAGTGACCTTGATGCACGTTAAGTACCACTGGTGCAGCCACTTCTAAACTACGATGAGGCACATACTGACTAGAACTCTGTGCTCATTAACAGTGTATAACATGAACTGTTTCCTCCTCAGCGTGCAGTATTTATACAGTTCGTTCACTTTCATCCCTCGCAAACACTGTTAGGGGGATCGGCTTGAAATCCCTCGAAATCACTAAGGATCATTTCACCATCATCGCGACGCCATATGCCCTACACCACTCAGTTAACGCAACTAAATTCCATCGCTAAATCTGGGTAAGTCAAGGTTATCAAGATTCTGGCGTCCTACAACTGCATCGCTTACAAATCAGACTGGCTATTGGACAACGTAAGGAGAAAATATTTTACAGAAATTGTTTAGCACCACCGTTCCTAAACCTTAAGCAACAGAACAGCAAATCCTGTTACTATAACTATCATCAAAAGCGGTTTCCAGATGAAAAGTGGAAAGGCTTCCGGTAATGACGGTATTAAGGCTAAGCATAACTAAGAATAAATGCAAAATTCATTGAAAACGAACTTCAAGTCATAAGCGATGTGGACGGGGAGTGGTGGGAGGGAATGGCGCATATCGGGACTGCTTGCCCGAGAACTGCTCCTCTTGCGTGGTGATCCAGCCACATTTTGATTGTCCATTTGTCCGCCACTGTTCACCCAGTACGGTGCGAAATCTGTAACATTATCCTGTATGTATCAAAAGCTTATTCAAACATATTTATCTAAAAGCCTGCACACATTGTTTCACAGTTCCGCAGCCATCTGAAAAGCGGTTACAAACATGCGCAAGCAATGCTGGTTAGAACAAGTCATTAGCGCAGATTAGTATTAATAAACAGCAGCGCGCACCAGGGCAACCGGTGCGATCATTCGTTTTATGCAATTCCGTCCACCAATCGACTGCCTG